GTATTTTCAAATATTTTTTTAAAAAAATATTCATAAATTATAACGTTTTGAAGTATATATAAATTATAAAATTATATAGTATATATAAACTATAAATTAGTTGATATTCAAAAGTAACAAGTAATTTGTAATATAGATATAAACTTTTTTAATCGAACTAAATATATAATGAGTAATCATGAAACTAATATATACATATGTAAAATTGTGTATCTTAAAGCTTGCATGTAGTTTCGTATCGACCAATTAAAAAATATGAAATATGAAAATTTAGGATCTTATGTTGTATGTATTGATAAGTATTTATAATTCAATATTAAATGCATAGGTAAATTTTCGATAAAATAGGAAAATTTATAAAATGGAACTGTAAAACAATCACATAAAAAGTTTGTAAATCGGTCTCACTTTAATAATTTTATGCTTACTAACTTAGTACTATTTAATAAGAAAAATGTTCTAAATTCAAAGCTAGCTCAAGACTTAAATTCTTCTGAATTAATAGGACTACATAAAATTATTTTTTTATAATTATCATTATAGGTATTATTATCAGAGCTAAAATTATGAATCTACATAATATTAATTTGACGTAGATAAAATTAATATCAAAAGATTTTCAAAGATACGTTTATTTATATTTTTATTTAATTAATGTATTTCATAGGAAACAAATGTATTTGATATAGTCTAAAAATTAACTAGAAATAACAAACATTCTTAAAGGTTTTATTATTATTCCATTATCTTTTTATAAAATTCTACGCTAACCTACAAGATAGATATTTTTCACATTATCAACAATTCTTTGTATCAGGGGTTACTTTAAGTTAAAAATTAATGCTTCGAAGAAGCACTTCACTGACATTCAATTACAAAGCTCTTCTTTGAACTGCAGAGTAGTGATCACGTAGATCGTTACATTAGAGACATCCTATGAAATTACATAAAAGAATTTCTATATAAAAATTAATTGCTACAGATCCATTATTCATTAAATCTTCACCAATAAATAAATAATCTTAATATTCTTAATATTCTGATATCTTGCCATTAATAACAAATTTATAAAACTATACGAATATACTTCAAATAAAAAATTATAGTATAGATACTAAATTTAAAGTTACAGCTATTGTATCTATTATATTATATAATGGTATAGTTTTATTCTTGGAATTAATCAACACAATTGTAATGATTAAATAAGTTACTTTATTTATGATTTATTTTCACTGTCTTTGGTATTATTATTATCAAAAAAAGAAATATGAAGGTTTGATTTCATTTTACTAGTTCATTCTAATTATTCACTCCTACAATTAAGACATAAATTTTATAATCAAATATTAATAAATAAATATATATAACGTTAATTGAAAAAATAAGACATTTTTGTGAGTATAATTTAATTATAATTTAATTATGACGTATTATAATTGGCTTAAATCTTTTCAACTGCAAATCAAATATTAATTATAAATAACATAAATTTTTAAATATATACATTTGGAATTTATTTTTCATTTTAAATTTATAGTTTAATTTAAAGAAAAAAATTAAAAAAAGTAATTTATAATAATTCGTGTAAATACACAAATTTTCAATATAAATACTAGTATATGCCTACTCAGATGTTCTATATTATTATTTTCTATATATAAATAAATATGTGTGTGTATATATATATATGTGTGTGTGTGTGTGTGTGTGTGTGTGTGTGTGTGTGTGTGTATGTATGCATGTGTATGATATAATTATATATAAATATTATTATATATTTATATTTATTATTTACAAATATTGTTTATACATACAAAAGATAAAATTATCCAGTCAATAAATTTAATACATTTTATTCGTTGTTATTAATAAGAAAAGTCGCATTACAAACTCTCATATTGATTTAAAGTATTCGAGTTATGAAATTATCATTTTCATAGTTTAAGTAAAAATATTAATATTTAATTATTTTTTAAAAAAAAAGTTTGTATATTGTGTTTTTATTTAACCGAAAAAAAAAAATATATATATAAATATAGAAGAAATGCACGTGACAGATACAAAAACGAAAATAAACCGTTATCAATAAGAAAAATGGTAATCAAGTTTTTTTTATTAGGTGTTAAATATTTAAATTACAAAAATATATATACATTTAAAAATTTTAAGTAATTACTTATTATGTGTAATAAATAATTTAACGTACATTTTTTAATTTTATAGGAATAAAAAATATGATTTCACTGTTTGATATTTATTGAACGTGACACGTTAAAGTATCACAGAACCATGATTAAGTTTTAACGAAGATAGTGTAAAGTAATTCTTCGATAATATTTCCGAACTGTATATATGAAACATCGTTTTGATACAACAATACAGATGACAGTGAAATTTTTGTCAGAGAAGGATATAAACAAGTTGGTGTAACCTTTATAGAATAACTTTAATATATATTCAATTTAAAATTTTAAATTATAAACAATCTTTTTCTTTCAATTATTTTCATTATTTTACATTTATTTTTACATATAATTAATATTTACCGATTTTATGTTATTTTTACTGTTTAAATGATTAAAAATTTATATAATTTCACGCATGTCTATAAATTTAATCATTTTTTATTCAAATTAAATGAAAGACAATTTTTTCAATTATTACATTTAGGTTGAAGAATAGTTATTTGTAATGATACAATTATGTTTATTTATAAATAATCATACTTTAGTACGTATTCATAAACAATACAAAACTTATAAATGAAATGTCTTGCATCGTATTAATTATTCACACTTATAACTATGTGGACGAACCTGGTGAAGATCTGAGTAGTTTGGATAGGGAACGGGTCAAGACGAAAAAAGAAATGCAATATGTAAATATTAGATCATTTGAGTACTCTGTATGTATATACGTACCGACGCACGCGCACGTGCATAACGATATAAACAGACAACCCATCATATCATATTAAATGCACTTAAGAACTACAAACTAATATGTTTACAGTTAAAAAAATCCAGTAAGATAAAAATATTGTGTAGCACAGATTGTTATTAAACCTGACTGTATCGCTAAATATATTACATATTAATTATCTCTAAAGTTGTGGGTATGACATTTAAAATAAATGATAAAATATCAATAAAAAATAATATTAGTAGTCTTTTAATAAAACTCTCTTAATAATGTTAGGATAATCCTACCAAAAAGAACGTAGTTTAATTTAAATATTAATATATTAATAAAATTAATATATTATATTTATATAATTATATAATATAATTATATAATATAATATATATAATATATTATATTTATATATATAATATATATAATATATTATATTTATATATATAATATATAATAAAAATAATATATTAATTAAAATATTAATAAAATTAAATTAAAATTATGCTTAAATAGCTAGTATAATTAATATTTCTTTGCTGGTAATAGAGTAATGAGCATCTGTTAATAAATTAAAACTAATTATAACAATTTGGTTATTGTTAAATACGAATGATACGGTAGTAGCTATTTTAAAGATCATATTAAAATAAAATTAGCAAAATCAATAGTAAATAAATGTTACATCAAACAATTTTTATTTGCTTAAGAGTTATTAAAACGAATGAATCTCATTTTCCAATATCAAATATCAGTAGATTTTTTTTAGCATATGAAATAAAACAAATTAAAAATGATTTATTTCTTGGAAATGATTTCAATCTAATTTTAACAAAATTTGATATCAATTCATACTCATATTTATGGTAAGTATTGAAATGTTTCAAAGCTTTAAGTCGTATATGCATACACATACATATATATTATAATATGAAAAGTAATTCAAAGAATTAAATAATAAATAAGATTATTATTTTATTTCAACTGTAAAAAGTATATTTATAGGTTTTTAAATTTTTTTAAATTATTGAAAAAACACATATTTTATAACAGCAGCAATCAACTTGTACAAATTAATAGATAATAAAGTTAAAATATATTATAAAAGATGTATATCTATAAATATGTTTTCAATATTTTACATCAAAGTATGAAATGCACTATTTAGCTTGAAATTAAGATTTAAAATTTGTTTTTTAACATTATTTATCGTTTCATTAGTTTAACAAACAAAAACTAAAGCTTCCTTTTTACAACCAAATCATTAAAGTAGCCTCATATAATAATAAATAACTAGAAAGTATTATATTCTTAATATAATATATAATATGGCGGAATGAGACTTTAAATAACTAAATAAAATTATTATTAAATTAGCTGTAAATTTTTTATGGATAAAAAATTACGTTTTTCTATAAAGTTTTCGGTATTTACTTCATATAAAGATTTTATAATAATCAATTGTTATCGATAAATAATATTTATATTTATTCAAACTTTACTCGGCGAACAATAAAGTAGTAGTGTAAAATTATATGATAAGATTTATTAAGTAAATATCACATGCATTTAGTTAAAACTTGCCAGAGTTAACTTATTTTTGAACTTATCAGTTACCGAAAAATAATTCCTGTAACATATCAGTAATTTTTATAAATATTAATATAATTTTTTTAAACGCGGCCATTACTGTTATTAGTAATTTGTCGAGGTAAAATAATACATAACGTGGAAAATCTAATACAATAATAATTGTGATCTGAAGCATTGCATTCTCTCCTCTCAGAAATGGTATTTGAAATTTTACATGTAGAACATAATATAGATTTGTTTTGAAATACGCCGTAAAGCAGACACGTAAGTTATTAAAGTTATCGAAATAAAATATTAAATGTAAATTAAAAGTACCTTGTGCCGGGTTGGTATTACTTAAGCAGTAGGCGAAAATCATTGCTAATCCTTGTGTGAATTAAAAGAATGTAATAATAAGTGACTTTAAAATGAGCAAAGGGACTTGGCAAATGAGTAACGAAGGGCGATGAGGTCGAAAGGGAGCGCGTATAAGAGCGCATTGGCGTACTTACCGAAAACGAAGAGGAAGAATCCACCGGGGTGTAGGTGTTAGGTGTAAACAAGGCGAGAAGAGGCGAGGAGAATTGCCCTTGCAGCGGCTGCACTGGATGGTAATAAAGCGCGAGGTGCGCGCTTAACTCCGCGGCGAAGGAATGACACACGCGCACCGATCGTGCGCGAGCTGCGCGACTGCGACTGAGGCGAGCACGGACGAGACAGAGCCGAACTGATACTGGAGCGGCAACGCGCGATTAGCTGCTGGTGACTCCGCGCCTCAGGGAATCCATTTCGGTATTAAAGAGAAAAGCCAAAAAGAGCGGCCTGCTCTCGTTTGTTTTCTTTTACCTCAACCCCCTCTCGCTGCCACACTCTCTCTCTCTCTCTCTCTCTCTCTCTCTCTATCTCTGTCTGTCTGTATCTCTCTCTCTTTCACGTGCGCGCGTAAACTTTCTCAATCTCCTTTTATCTCTGTCACTGTCTCTCTTGACCCCGCCGCCCTCCCTATTATTTCGCGCTGTGCTTATTCCCTCACGACGGCGGCACGGACTTTTCACGCTGTAAATGTAAGGGAGGCAAGAACGCCCTGAGGCTGGACGGATACGTATTAATAGTTGTCTTTTATCTCGTGCGCTCCAAAGGTTTTTCCGAAACCAAGGGTGAGAACAGGAAAAAGGGGCAAAATGGATGAATAGAGCAGGGGACCGAAACAGAGAATATTTGTAAGCGAGAAAAGGGAGAGGGAATATAACACTGACAAGAGAGCGTGCAAGAGAGGCGAGAAACAACGGACACCCGTCGAGTAGCGCAGCACCTTTCCGTCAGGCGTTTGCGGCTTTACTGAGCCTGACACGCTGATTCAACGGATCCCTGCCGAAGCTCTTGTCTGCATATTTATTACTGCTATTACTGCTATTAGTGCTATTACTGTTACTATTGCTACTACTATTGCTATTCCATTTTTTCATTAGCGGAGAATATTCATATGCACATTCAAAATGCTTATCGCTGTCGCATACACTCGTATGTTCCGCTCTCTCTCTCTCTCTCTCTCTCTCTCTCTCTCTCTCGCCAACACTCTCCACATTTCTCTCGCCATCTCTCTCGATCTCTACCTATATCCTTCTTTTTCGTTCTCTTCCATTCCTTCTCCCGTTTTTCTTGATAATTACAGGTGCAATATATTACACGCTTTTCATTAACCCATGTGTAAAAACAAATGCAAAAAATATAACAACAAATGGGTAATTTTTTTTAATAAATAAAAATATAAATAATGCGAAAAAACAAGAATGAGATACAAGGGAATAAAAATCTGAAAATATATTAACAATGCATGATTACGAATAAGATGTAAGGAGAATGAATGAAAAATAAATAAATATGAAAAATGAAAGTTATTGATGATAAGGTAACAGAAATATGTATGAACGTCAGATTAGTAAAAATTGTGAAAAGGTAGCTTTCTCTCTTTCATCATCGTTTTCAATTTCATTGCGGATTTCAATCATATCGACTATTGGTCCAAATAATCTATTGCTTTTTTTCTTTTGTAAACGCATTTTTTCAAAACTTTCGCGACTTACTTGAATAATTATACATTTTTTATTATTATTTATTATATTTTTGCGCGTGCATACGCACGCACACACCAGACACTGAAATATCTTAAAATTATATTTACGACACTTCTGAACAAGAAATTATGAATTAAGAAAAAATAATATTTTGTAAGAATTAGAATAAATTTGTCTGTTTTAAATAATATTATTTATTCGAACTGGAAATAACTTAATTTATAATTTTTACTTTTATTATTTATAATTCAAGACGAACTATTGAATTTGTATAAAACATTAATTAATGATTCAGACATACAAATTTATTGTTGTTGAATGTATATTGTTTAGAATAATAAAAAAAAATATCTTAATGGAAAAATTAGGATAATTTGAATTTTTTTCATTTTTTAATCGAATATACTTAATAAGTATATAAAAACATATTAAGTCATTAAACATATATTTTGCTTATTATAAAATAAAGTTAGGTGTTTCTTACAAACATAAAAAGGTTTTAAAGAAATAATAATTTTATTTTTTTTTTAATTTTAAAATTGACTAATAGTTATATATATATGTAACTAATTAATCTCCGTTAGCTTTTATAAAATTACGATTTACTATAATAGTTACAATTTGAGCATGCGATGAACTAGTAAACGAGAGGAATATTATTAGTTTATTTTTTCTTCGATCGTTTTTAATAGGAAATTATATTACTCAATTTAAGCTTATTTCTGCTTTTTATCCGAGATAAAATCGAGTATATGCTGGCATAGTACTAAATGCAACAATATACACTAATATATACTTTAATTTGTACAATTTAATAATAATTTAATTACATATTGCTTTAGCTCGACCTTTAAAACCACTGGATAGTTGCTATTCCTATATTAATCATAGAACAAATGCATATTTACTATTATTGTCGCATTTAAATTGCAGAGTATATTGACGCTCTTAAGAATATATAATTTTTTCATAAATTGGCTGTATTAATTATAATAGCTTTCAACTGTAATGTTATTTCCGTATTCTTTACCTAAGCGCTAACCACATTCTGAACGTCGAAAATTCTATCGGGTATAATACGAGTGAAAGTAGACAACCAGCCTGTTAATTAAGAAATTTCTCGGCAGTTATCTAGACAAGAAGATCGCGATCTTACCTTGAAAAAAAAAATATATCCAGATCATTTGCTGGACACCTGAAGGAACCGAAAACATCAACAACGAAATCTGGCATTAGTTGAGTGAGTGAAACGCGAGCCACACCCACGTAGCTTCATGAGATAAAGGTCCGCTTTTGATGGCTAATCGTGCTCCTGCATCGTTCAGCGAAAAACTGACAGAGACACCTCTACTGAGGGTAGATTTTAAAGACTTAGAGTTTGAACGGTACGGCACCCTTGATTCCACGAATGTCCTAACTCTCGTTGCTCGTTTTCTAATTTCTTTGTGATTTTGCTTTATCATGTCATTTTCCCTATTATCGGAGATCTATTTTCAAAACACTCTGTACATTAATTGAACCTTGTTAATTATATTTTATGCGCTATTTTTTAATATATAAACCTGCGAGTAGACGCGAATACGAGTAGAAATAGTATAATTTATGATTCGTTTATAATATTACTAATGAACAACGTATTCTTTCATCTAGTTTTCTTCAAATGTAATCAAAATAATTCTATATACACGCTAATTACAAATTTCCAAGTTATAATTTTTAAAGAGGTATGATAATTTATAGCGTGTATTATTACGCTCATAAATAATGATCTTGTAGTATTTTTTAATTTTTAAGTAATAAGAAACAATTCTATTAAGTTCAATCAAAGTCTAGGGTATTATATTTAGAAACTTTATGCTTTTTGTGACACAAGATAAGAACATATTAGTTAATTCACTTTTAATATTCATAATAATATAAAAATATAAGATTGAGTGATAATTTCAGTAATTTGAAGAATTATAAAGTATGGAACCCATATTTGCACTCGTTTTGCTTTCTACTGCATATGCCTATTGAAGCACAGAGCATTCAGATTTTTGTACGCTTACATTACCCCATTCACTTTACCGTCACATAACAGCATTTACAAAATTTGCATATAAAAGCATTTACAAAAAGCAGAAAACTCAATTTTCAAAGCTAAATATTTATTTTATAGTTACATTATTCTTATTTATATGCGCTACGTGAATTTAAACATAATAGATTTCAGTAATGAAAGAAACTGAATGAATGTGAATTTTAATAACCAAATAGTTGCTTTTTATTATTAATAAAATGTATGTTTTTATGTATAATTGCCTCTTTTATGATAATTTTCTTTTGGTATCTTGTATTAACAAATATAAATTATATTTTCAATATTTAAAAACAATAATAAATATCAATTCTTTCTTCTTCTATAATTGTACAATGCGCTTGCGAAGAATGTTTATATTTGGTAAGTCATATTTATGTTTTATAATTACTTTGCTATTTATTAATAAACCAAAAAAACGTTATTGAGACATCTTGAATTTAAAGTAGATATAATCTCATTAAAATTTTATCTTTTTAAATACAGATAGTGCATAATAAATTTTATAAGAAATGTGATTTTAATTACTTCCTTTACAATAAAGTTATTATTTATTATTTATTTTCTTAATTACTTTTTAGGTTCAAATAACTTATATAGATTATGTAGATTTTTAAACTTTATATTGAGAATAAATGGTACTGATTTCTATTTGGTTCTAATATAATTGTTTTTACATGTAATGCTTATAATTTGAAATTTTTAATAATCCTAAACAATAAACTTAATTCAATTAAAAATAAATTTACCTTATATTATATGCTTCTGAATAATATTATACATATCCATGTTGTATGTTCTTCGTAATTTATGTCTTTAAACTTTAAACTGTAATAATATATTCAAGTATTTTATCTATTTATTTAAAAGATAACTAATATTTCATATTATTACTATTTGATGACTAATATAATAATTATTAGTTTCATTAACTAAAATTACTTATATTATTTGTCTTTCTACTTGTTTAATATTCTCTTTATACTTTTGACTTATGGAAAGTTTGTATATATTTAAAAGAATATTTTTTTGATTAATCAGTAATTTTTATCACTATTTTTCTAATTAGTATTTTAAAAAGCTCTACAAAGGCTAACATAGTTGTTTTTGATTCATCATGTTTTATATTTATATTTATTTAGCTTTAACATACGCTATTATTCCTTACTTAACATATTCGTTACATTCGTATAATATTAATTTATAAATATATTTATAAATTATTTATATACAAGATTAAACATTGGTTATAACAATATAATTTACTATTTCATATTTTTGATAAAATTTTATTAGAATTTTTCCAAAATTTAAACGAAAACTAATATAAAGTCAAACAACATCTGGTTATTGTAAAAAAGCAAAATCTTGCTTTTATTGAAATGAATATTTATGTATTTATAAATTTTAGTCCATTTTATTTTATATTTTCAACGACTTATGTGCATAAATCCTATAAAAATCTCATTTTTAGCATCTATAAACTGAAATAAAAAATTAATTGATTATAAAAGTAACGTCATATTTTAAATTTTAATACTTAATCTCTAATCTGTACTAAATACTTAATATTTCTTTATCCAAATATTTAATACTTTCAAAATTCATTGTTTTAAAATTTATGGTTTTTATTCATTTTTAATTGCAGATTCAAAATTTTATTAATTAATAAGAAATTTAGTTTAATCATTAATAGCCTTTAAATAT